TCCGCCTCCCCCATTTCAAGCCAGGTCCTCAGAGCACTCCTAACCCCCTAGCACAGATCCTCTCCAGGCTAAGCCCCCCATTGTACCAAACACTCAACTCCACAAAGATGATGCTTCCTGTCCCCAGTCAGTGACCTTATCAAAGCACTATCAGTTTAGTTTATCTAAACAGACATGAGCTACATTTTATGCCATTTTCCACATATCTTCATGTCAAAATACGTGTTCTCCACGTAGAACATCTCTGTGTGCTGAGATGATGCCTACAAGGCGATTTTTGCATCCTTTATTCTGCATAAATATTGGACACTATTTTCATCACTCTCCTAGCAAGATTAAAAACAAGAGCACCAAAACATTTAAAGACCTTTGTCTCCAGACCTACAATTTCAGAATTCAGCAGCGGTGGTTATCCAGCTGTCCTGCCACTAGGGAGTTACATCTCTTGATTGTTTCCTTCCCCTTCACATGTGGATATTTCTGTTTTCATACCATCATTCCCATTGACAATGGGGACGAGTCAGGCCCTTCTTATCATTGAAAATGCAGGCAGTGAAATCACTCCACCTAAACCGTTCCACCTATTCTCAGCCCCTAGTACGTCGGCTAGCTAATTACAAAGAGAACAAGAAAAACCTTTCACAGTTAATTTGAATGTCCAAGCAAGGTCTAACAGCTGGACTAAGCGATTCCCACTTGCTCACTGCAGCACAATAGACTCCCAAACATTCTTCCACACTCCCAGTTAGAAAGGTCACTTTTAAGCGTGAACTTGAACATAATCAGCGAAGTTTTGTCTTGCTGTATCTTCAGGAAGCTTAAAAATGCATCTACTGTGGGATGAATTAAAAAAAAAAAAAACAAAAAACAAAACAACAAAAAAAATCCAAAACAAACAAACCCCAAGGTACTGTTTTCTTGCGTATTGTTTTTTAGCCCATCTCATCATGATGGAATGAGTCACCTCAGGCATCACAATGGAACATTAATGCCAACTAAAGGGCACCTTTCTCCCATTTCCATCATGCATCCTGCAATTCCAGGGCAAAAAATGACAGTCAAGCCATGTATAACACAGGAGCAGCAGAAAATCAATTAACTTTAAATCGCAGCCCAAAAAAGAACTAAATACATCAGATGTGTAATTCACCTCACCTGTCAACTTCTGAAGACAAAGTTTTTTTAATCATAAGTTAATTTTTCTGCAGAACTAAGCTCTCTAGAGAATTCACAAAACCTTCCCTACATATTGATGGGGCTTAACAACTGTGCTACTGGAGCTTTTAACCCTTAACTGTGGGTAAGTAAGCCGCCAGTATCCACATGCCAGAGCAGAGGGATTACACACTGATTTGGTGAAGCTCTTGAAACAAACCAACAGCTGAGACATAGATTTAGCTGGTGACAGCTGGGAATTCAGCCAACTGCTCCTGTTATTTCCTTTTCCCAGTGAGAACCAGCTCACACAAGAAGGTAACTGAAATCAATTTCTGTTACTGCAACATTACAGTTACAACATGAAGCTCTCAAAAGTCAGTGAGTTCTAAAAGCTAGTGATTTTTCTACTTCAGATATGGCAAATTTCTTATTCCTGTCTGATGCGTGCACTTCAGTTGCTTAACCAAAAGGAGAAAAAACCAGGAACTTTCTTATTGCAGCAAAGATGGTGATATAGTCTGGCTCTAAAGCAACTCCAAGTCTGAAGGAATGTGAGTTTGCTGGCCTTCCATGCATGCTCACAATTTACTCAGGCCTTTACTTTGGAAAATGGGCTGAGCTGTGGTTTCTTGGTTATACAATGGAAGCCCTTCCCATGCCTGTCCCTTGCCCCTCTAATGTGATGGAAATTGTCATGCTAGTAAGCAGAAAATTCTGAAAAAAATCTTTCATTTACTTTTTTGTTGTAAAATACAATTTCCTGTCATTATTTATAGCAACTCTAATAATTCACGTCTAAGATCTGCACTCTCAGAATGGAAACTTGGATGTTCAACTCATTTCAAGCAGTGCTTTCATGGCCACACTGAAACTAGATTACCTTTCCTGAGATCTCTGCAACAAATTATACACATCTATGCAAAGGGATAATTTGGAAGAACAAAAGCTTAAAGGAGGCATCATACCTTTGGCCGTACTCCTAGGAAGCCACTGCAATTTGGGGCACCACATTTACAAACAGTCTTTCCATTTCCCAAACACTCCAGATTGTAGTTGAAAGTCAGCTCAGTCCCTGGCACAAAAGCAGATCAAAACCAAGCAAGTTGTAATGAATTATGGAGCAGAACATCTTACTGCTGAAGTAAAAGCACTTTTGAAATATAATAACACAAATGACTGTCACAACTATACAAGGATACCAACTATTAATTTACCCATAGACCTGTGTGGATTGAAAATTCATTGCAACCCTACACTCCTATCACATACTACAGCCAAAAAGAGCATTCAACCCCACACTGTAGCATGCTTAGTTCCATTTCTTGACCCTGTAAATTAGAGTATGAACCTCCATTTATATCATGGATGTATGTGTTTCATTATGTCAATGCTGGTGTTAAGTCTCATGACTGTCTACATGAAAACAAAAATTAAGTATCTTCCCAAGAAGCTACAAACCCTCCCCTTTCCTTAGAGAAACACTCCCACGCTTTTAACTGCAGGTACTGACAGAGTGGGGTTCCTTACCAGCTTTGATATTTACAATTGCGAAGAGCCCGACCCGAGTATCGCCATTCACACACCATTTCTGAGTCTCACAGTTTGGCTGGCAGCAATGGTTCATGAACCGAGCGTAATTGCCCTTTGGCCCAGCATCAATGATTCGATCCTGGAATTGCAAAAAATACCCAGAAAAACACATTAATAAACTGTCATTTCCTGCTCAAGCTATTGCAGCACAGGTACCAGTATACTAGGAAAGCATTAATCAGTAGTGAAAAGTATGACAATGGAGGCATCTGATGACACGTGCAAAGCACCGTGTTTGTACATGTGTTTTAACCAAGTGTAAGGGACAGGTGTCACTGTGTTGCCCGGACAATCGACAGACACCCAATCAGTTTCCACACACTGATTTCTCTGGTCATGGCTGGCAGATCATATAGCAGTACAGTCTCCTGCACAACATCATCTTCCTCTTCAAAGACACAGGCTCCTGAACAGCCAGGAAAATGCTACTGCTGCTTTCTGGGAAGTTAGCTCTCCTTGTGGTTTCAGTACTGGATAAACACTACACTAAGCACATTTCCAAGGCAGCACTTGTGGTTCCAGACTCCGACGTCTGCTCAAAAGCAAAATACCAGTTCCTGTTTCTTGTTAAGTCAATGTATAGAAGGAAAACAGGAACAGTACATAACATATGAGGTATGCTTCTGTACAACACACTACCATTTGTTAGACCGCATCGGAGAAAGCAGCTGCAACTGAGATTTGGATTTGTAATAACAGGAGATACTAACACTTGGGTTTGCCCCTGCCTTCCACCCATCAGCCAGACAAGGAGAACAAGATAGGGTCAGTGTGAATTTCTAGCAAGAAGAGGGGAGAGCTAGAAAGCAGTCACATTGTTACCCTGTCCCACGCTGGACAGCTTCTTCCCACGCCTGTTTTCACAATTTCCTTCTAATCTTTCTGAGGTTGAGTGACAAAGTGTGACAAGCAGCTAACAAAACTACTTACCTCTGAAAGCCAGGAGCTCATACCAACAACCTGGCCTCCAGGACCCACGGAGGAGTCTGTGGGTGTAACAAACTCCACCCCTGTACTTAAATCAGCAAGAACTGGGATCTGAACTTAAATGAAGGTCTCACTTCACCTGATACTTGTACATCTGAGGGCTGATGCCTTCTCTGGCACATACCAGCCCAGTTCTGGACTCTCCAGGGTTCAGCTGCTAGGAAGGAACCCAAGGTTACCAAATTCACCCTGTTATGCTGAAGCAGGATCTACTATCCTCAGACAATTGCCTTCAGACAACTGCCTTACCTCTTCTGAATAAACTCCAAAGAAGTCGGTTGAGACTTTCCTCCTAATCCTAATATCCAACCTGAAGCTTCTCTACTGCACGTTAAATCCATTCTTTCGGTCTTCTCTTCAGTGCAAATGCAGATCAGCTCATCAGCAACTCCTAGCATCTTTTTACTTGCTGGAGAATACCACTGTCATGACTTGCTTGCAATCATTTTACTTCTGTCTAGGATCCTGGCAAAAGAAATTCCTTCCACGTACCTTATCCAGTGTCAACATGTAGAAATTGGTGATGTCATGCTCCTGAGCATAGCGGATTCGGGCTCGGCACTCCTCTTCATCAATTAGCTCCCCAACATACTCATTAACAAATTCACCCTGCCAGAGAGAAAACAATAAGCTGATAAGACAAATTCCCTCCAGGATGGAGGGACATCCACCTTTGTGCTAAAACACAGTTCCTGTTTCCTTTGTGGAAACCATTTCATAAAAATCTTCCTCTGTGCTTTGCAGCCAGTTTGACCTATAATCTTCACTAGGAGCCCTGAATCGTACATCTGTTTCATACGCTCAACAAACAGCTTGAAATACATTAAATAAAGCAACAATGGCCACCAGACTATTCTTTGTGCTACAGAAGGAATTAACATTCAGGGACAGCATAAAAGTAAACCACAAGAACAGTTCATTGCTGCAAAGCTCAAAGCACTGCATAACTGCATTCCAGCTGGAAACATCCTTTTGGGAACCAACCACACCGAGCAGCATGATGCACCTAGGGCACCTGCTCCTGCAGTGAATCCATGGAGTTCCCCTGCAGTGAAGTACTGCAGAGACTGTACTTCAACACTCAGAAGGAACCCCAGCTCTGCTCCATGGGGGCTAATAGGTGCCTCCATTAAATAACCGAGTTTTGCTGTTTCCAGACTGTCTGTTGAAAGTGAAATGTAACAGGCACAGGGAATGGCAGAGAGATCCTTTAACCTGTATCACAGCAGGCAGCAAAGCCTAAACAGTATGGACTCACATTCTTCCTTCTGCTATCAAGCCCTCCCCTGTAGCATGTCGTCCCTACTTCTTTTTCAGACATTCTTCTCCTACTATGCTAATCGTCCTCTGTTTCACTTCACCCTTTTTTAGCTTTGGGGTTCTCTTTGCTTTAACATTCTTCCTTCTTCATTCAGCACAGATGTGTGTCCACAGAACTACTGTTCCCTGGATTTAAAAAAGTATATACAAGTGTTTTAGCTGGAGATAACCAGTTTCAGCAATAATAACAGCCATCTCCAAGACATTATCCTTTTGTAAGAGACAAGCCCTGGTTTCAGTTTCTGATACAAGATTCTTATGCTGGAAAAGCCTGGCTATTCAAGAATGGGGGGAAGGTATAATCACTGCTCCCTATCTGGAAATCCTCAGCATCGTCTTCAGGGCAGTGTTCTGGTGTACTCAAAGCCCATCATCCATACGAGCAGACAGACTGAGCAATCATCTTTTTCTTACCCTGTGGAACATCAACATGCAAACCATCTTCTTGGTTAGCTGAGCTAAAGCATTCTTGTCAGGACTGGAAAAGTTAAATTTATCCATTTCTTTCCTACATAGCATTCTACAGCAAGAAGTCTTCTTCAAATTATGGAAGTTGGTGATTTTGCAAATCTATTGAAACCAACACTGATTAAGAGAGAAGTGGCAAGAGAAAATTAAATGCAGAAACAGAGTACTTACCTTTCTGATGTCTGTTTTGGCTTGCAAGCCCCAGCCTCGTGCCAGCGTGCGGAAAATTTGTACCTCAGGATACTGCCGCTTGGAGAAGCACTGGTTCTGGCAGCGCTCCCCAGCAGGGCAGACCAGGGGGTGGCATTCATAGAGCAACATGCGATTGATGCATTCGGAATCCAGGCCACATGGGTTTTCATCTGTTGGTTTGCAGTTGCAACGTGGTATCTCGGACAAGTCTGCAGTGAAGATCTGAACCTTCCCCACCGGCCGGTTCACCTTGAACGCACACAAAGGATGTTAGCTCTTAAGAACAGGTTATCCCGATAGTCACTTCTACACTCAACCCTTGCCTACGAGCTGACAGGCTGCAGTGTGAGTTAGTTACAGCGAGGGGCAGAAGAACACAAGTACAAGCACATATGTACTTCTGGGCACACAATTTCAAGAGATATACAGTTAAGAGGGAAGAGCTAAGGAGGATGCAGGTCCCCCATTAGTGTCACATGGTGCAGTGTGTATTCTGTGACCCTGGAGCAGGGAGAGGCTGCCAAGTGCACCCCTCCCATCACCACTGTGCCTGCATCCAGCCCAGGTGGCCCAGCACTCTCATTGGGTGCACACCATACCTGTGACCGACACCAAACCATTTTCCGCGTGGAACAGCACCTTCTTCAGTCTCTGAGTGTCAGGTCCGTTTCCTTATATTTTCCTTACTGCCCTGTTTTTTTAATCTGTTATCTTCAAGCTTGTGTTTTTGCTCTCAGCTGTTACTATGAGAACCAGTGGACATGCCCATGCAGGACAGAGTACAGAGAGCCTACCTATGCACCAGGCCACAAGCAGTTAGCTCCCTACCCAACTGTCCTGCAGACGTAAATGAAAGAAAAACCAGACAAGGCTGGGGTTGGAAGGCCCAAAGAGGAGCTCAGAGTTAAGCCAAGGAGCTCTCCAAAAACCGCTCCAGAAGGAAGCAGAGTGCAGCAACAGGTGGAGAAGCGACTGGCATGTCTGTGGCATAAGCAGGGTCCTTTGGTTTTGGTTAAAGGCTGCGAATGCTGAAAGGCAGGCAACAGAGAGTCAGGACTTTTGAGAGAGATACTGAAGAAAAGCTCCTTGCTGTTCTTTGCCCAGGTAAGCAATACCATCAGCTCCCTTTCCTCTCCCAGAACACAAAAGGAGGGGATCATTTAGCGAAACTATTTCAGCCCCCCACTCCAATTTATTTAGTCCCACCTACTGAGCAAAGTTTCCACACTGGCAGCCTGCCCGAGTGTCGTGGTTTAACCCCAGCCAGCAACTAAGCACCTTGCAGCCGCTTGCTCACCCCAGCCAGCAACATAGCACCGTACCAGCTACTAGAAGACAGTTAACTCTATCCCAGCTGAAACTAGGACACCGAGGCTGGCCTAGCCCTGATCCTCCTCTTTTGTTTAAAAGCAAACCCTTCAGAACTCCCTGATTAATCTCTTCAACACAGTCTCCCCTTCCTCCTAGCATGGCCTCCCACCTCCAACTTTCTTCATAACTCCTCTGCTGCTTCCCATCTCTTTCTCAGACTGTTAGCTCATCATCTCATTAAGAGTGACGAGTCTCACAGGATTAGGACCGTCCACCACCAGGCAGACAGAGGTGCTCTTGCTGGGTCTGGCACCACCACCCCAAGTGACCATGGTGTCCAAGTGTGGTGCCCCTTAGCACGCATGCATGCCCACCCAGCAGGCCTGCCCTACTCCCCGAGGCACTGTTAGTACAAACCAGCTCCAAAACAGGACGACACTTGGACTAGCCACAACCCTGATGTGATGAAGGATTCCAAGCGTATTTTGCAGCAGCCTCTCATGTTGGCACTCCTTGGGATGGACCCCGAGGTGCTGAACCCCTTAGAAGGCCAGGATGGGAGCAGATGCAGCCAGCTTTGGCCATTCCACCCCAAAGCCTTCCCCAGTTCACTGTATGCTCCTGCAAACTGCTTTGCTTTCAGAAACAAACAGCTTGCACCCAGACCTCAGAAGAGCTGCCATGACTAATGGCCATGACTATTATTATTTATATTAAAGGGGTATTTCAAAGGCTCCAAACTGCTTCCAGAGTTCCTTCATGTTGTGGCTAGAGACAGGCTTAAAAATAACTATAGTGAGAAACTGTATTTCCCCCATTGAAGCTGCCTGGCCCACACTGCTGCCACAGCATTCAGTTGTGTTCTTTACACTGTACAGTAACTCAGGCAGGATATATCTGCCTGCCTAGAAATCCTAGCTAGAAAAAAAAAAAGTGCCAGCAATCAGTTAAGCTTTCACAGTCTGTCACGTAAAAAAGGGAAGGAGCAGACAGAGGCAATGAAAAAAAGAACACAGTCCCTCAGTCACAGGGTTTCTGATCAGTCTGGACCCACATCTCAAGCACATACACCCACTTGGCCCCAGCTCTCGTCTCAAGTCACCTCCATCCTGTAGGACTTCTACGGCTGCTCCAATTCAATCTCAAAATACAGCCCTAAACATGAAGAGTTCCCCAAAACTCAGCAAAAGGCCTGATATTCCAGCACACACACCTGCTTTAGTATTTCTGTTCAGTCACCAACTGATAGAGATATAAAACAATAGCAGAGATGAAACAAGATACTGTGGGTTACCATCCTCCACGCAGCTCTGCTCCACTGCACCCTGACCATCTCCTATCTTGCACCACCTGGGATGCCCACCTTGCCATCAGTAGCACACAGTACTTAAGCATATTGCATATTATTAGCACTCTCCCTTAAGTTCCCAAGGTAGAGAGACGCTCCCCTCAGAGCACACAACTGACATGGAACAGCACAGAGATGTCCAGATCTGCTCCAGTAAATCAGAGTACCTCTATTACTGATGTCTATCTTCCATACAGCTCTGCGCATATGTGAATCCTTTCTGTGGAGGATGACTGAAGATGCCAAGAGCACCAAAGTAACCTTCAAATGCAGCCAGATGCCCAAACAGTAGAAATTTTTCTATATACCTGTAAATCATCTGCACCGACAGCTCAAGACTTCTCTTCTGTACCTGTCCCCTCCCACTTGCCCTCACCTTGATATGTTTGTAGGGAGGAGGTTTCTTGTCATTCTTTTTGTCTTCCTGAAGCTGTCTCAGTTCTTTCTGTGCCTTCAACTCTTCAAATCTTACTGCAGCTTCCTGAAGAGCTAAGTGAGAGAACAGGCTGTGTTATGAGGAACTCCCTCTGCTCACACAGAGCTGTGCTGCCAGTGTCTACCCAGTGCTAACAGCTCCACAAGCAAACCTCCCTGGCTGCATACTTCAGAGGCAGACGTTCACTGGAGTGAGGTGAAGAAAAGGCTAATGCAGTAGGGCAGTTACTAGAGTTACAGTAAGGGACCTGCCCATGGGTGATGAAGCATCCAAACTGCCTGCTAGCTTTGCCTGCTTTTGGGCAGAGGTGTCAGGCAGCTGCATTCACAACAACCAACTGCATTTTTATAGACAGATACTGACCGTATTAAACACAGGGAAGCTGACAAAGCAGCTGATCACTCAGATTTAGAGCAGCTATGTCAGAGCTGGAGAAACATTCAAGATCTGCACACCCGTCTTCCCATCTGGGAGTCACACCAACGAACATTCTGAGTGCACTGGATGATAGATAAGCAGCAGCTCATTCTACAAATTTCATTTCACTTCAGCTCTAAGACATTTTTCTCTGTTACAAGAATGCCACTTCTCCAAGTGGGAATGAAGAGAAAAAGAACATGTACCTCCCTGGATGAAGACAAGTTACCTTTCTTGTATATGCCATCCACGCCCTTCCCCATCTTGTCTTTGCTGCTGACATCACCCTCCATGTAAGGGAACACACGGGCCTGGTGCGTCCACAGGTAATCCTTGGAGCCGAAGAACAGCACAGGGAATTCACCGATGTCATGTTTCATTTTCTGGATGTTGACAGGAATTGTCCTAGGATGGCAAATCTCAGCTGGCCACCACCTGCAACACAGGGAAGGGCAGATGAAACCTCTGGCTCCCCCACTTCCAACCACCTTAGAAGTATGCTACTTCATGGGGACATGGGGAAAAAGTGTGTGAGGGCGACCAGCAAGGCTGGTGGGGACACAAGAGGCTACTGGAGAAGGAAAGCACGCATTTTACCGGCTGCTACATGCATGCAAAAAAGCCAGAGGCTGCTGCACTGTACCCTGCAGAGGGACGCAGCTTCTCACCTCAATCACCACGAGCACTGCATGAAGAAGGGATGAGGACAAATCTGTTCTACCTTCACCTACCTGTAGCGCCCAACTTTCACCCAGACTACTTCCTTGTAGTGTGGCTTTTTGCCTGCCTTGCAATCATTACAATACCAGCTTCCCTCTGGCATCTCAATGTTTAGACACTCACGGTGAAATGCAGCCGGGCACGACTCACAGCATAAAAGGCTGCCCCCTGCAAAGAAAAGGAGGAGGAATATCAGAGTCACTGCGCAGAAGCCCTAGACTCCACACTTCCAGACAGACAGAGCTGACAAATGGGCATGATGCTCTTCTGCAAACCCTTTTCAAAAGCTGTGCCCCACTCATGCTGCAAAAAGAGCCCTTCTAAGGATCTGAAAAAAACCCCTAGCCTGAAGTTGGACTTAAATGGGGACGGATAGGAAGGCAATCTGTTCTCCGCAGTTCTCACCGGCACGCTCTAGACAGGCAAAGCTTCTGCCTGCTCTAATGACTTCTTGTCAGGGCATTCCTTGGTGACAGGGGACCCTGCACAGACTGTCTCACCTTCCGAGCAGACAAAGCACCAGCTGACGTTGACGTGCTCATGGTTGCGACAGCCCCTCCGTGCAGTGAAGTGATTGGGGCAGATGATGCTGTTGGAGGCGAGGACCACGGACCCAGCAGCAAGGCAGAAGTCGTTGGAGTGGTATGCAACAGGACACCGCACACAGCGCATCAAGCGACCTACCACCAGAACATGGCGGGAACACAGTGAACCTCTAAAGGAGGAAGACTTTTTGTTTCCTGCCAAAACTAGCCTCTATTTGATACCTAAGCTCAAAACGAGCAACCATAAGTGATCTTTGGAAAAGGAAACTGACCTTTAATTTTTATAGACTATCCATGACATACTCACTGGATTCCTATTAAATTATTTAATATAACAATATATATATATATAAAATTATAAATATCTTTTATATCTATTTGTACATAGCATATATAAAATTGTGTTACTTGGAAGTGAAAAACCTCCTGCATGCTGTGCAGAAACAGCTCAAGAGTTCATAGACTAGGACTGCTTCCTATCATACACAAATAATTAGTAAATCAGCTCAGACAGTAATTACACAGGAGGTGTTCCAAGTGCTTAGCTGCACATAATGAAACCAATCCGCGTAGCTTCTGAAAACATAGGCACTTGCCTCTCCACTTTATCAGATTTTACCCTGAAATTCCAGAACGGAGAATTCAGAATTGCCTACAGGCCTAATTTATCCAAGGTTTTTGAGAGCCTGTTTTCAGTTCCTCACAGGAGACTATAAAGAGGGAGAAGAGGTGGGAGGAAATGGGTAAATCTGACCACCAAAAAGCAGCAGCCAGAGGAACACAATGCAAATGTTCAGTGGGGAAGTGGTCAGCTGTGGGCTTTAGGCCTCAGTATTGTCTTCTACACCAAATACTGATATGTGGGGGGAAAAAAAGACAACTTTAACATAGACCCTGAGGATAAAAATAGAGCTTGTCTTATTGTCACTTGTCTTCAGATACCAAGGGTTTAATGGAAGGCAGCTTTAGAAGCAAATATACAATGCTATCACATGAAAGTTTTAAGTTTAGTCATGTGAGATAGTGGTCAAGGTACTGCTGCAAACAGCTCAAACAGATGTTTGCCTGAGAAGCTTAGCCCAAGGGTGTCACTACTACAAGACAAGAATTTGCATTATTAAAAAAAAGGAGAACTAGAACAGTATCATAGTTTTTACTACGCTGCTCTCTATGCCATTGCCTTGATAGCCAGTGCTGCTAAGCAGGCAGCGTCTACAGCACTGGCACAGCGAAACGCACGTAGGAGAAACATGAGAGTGTCTATACAGCTCCAGAGACTTATTCAAAAACCCAGAGAGGCGTGTGGCATCGCTGGACGTGCAGGCATCCAAGCGTCTGGACAGACAAGAACATTTTAGTTGCCATGTCTGACCATCAGGAGTGCTGATGAGCAGCAACCTCGCATACCGACACCACCTTTTCCACTCCCCTGAGAGAAGCTATTCCTCAGCAAACGCTACAGCAAGCTCTGCAGCAAGGACAGAAAATCAACATGAAGAACTAGTGGACGAGGTAACTACACAGTGGACAGGTAACAAAGGAAAAGCTTCTAACGGCATCCCCTAGAAGATATCAGTACCTTTAGATGCAGAGATGTTTGCTGGGTTAGCAGCATGACAAGTCATGCATATGTGCAGGGAGCATCGGAAGCCCTTGTTCTGCATGACTGTGGGCGGATACTTTTGTATGCATGCTTCATGGTAATACTTCCCACAGAGGGGCAGCAAGCACCGTTTTACATCTTCCCCGCAGCTCTTGCACACAAAGCAGGTATGGACTCCTGGAGAAAGAGCAACAAACACAACACCAGTCACACTGAAGAGCTAAATGAAGACCCGACACTTTCACCAGGCTGCGTATTAGCATAGCACAGCACAACTTCCCAACCTGCTGTACCAATTCCAAAGCACAGGTCTCTGCAGCAGGCTGGTTTTGCCTGCAGCTACAATAAAACTCCAGATCAAAAAAAATATTATTATAGCTGTGATTTCAGGCCAGGGAAAAAAGAAGAAAAACAAAAATCAACAACCCTACTTACAACATTCCCCCCTTTCCAGTCGGCTCCAGACTCATCCTCCCCACCAGCCCTCTCTCCCTAGTCCCATATAAGAATTTCCGCTTCTCCTTCCCACCAGATCCTGGACATTCACTTCTTCGCACCCCACATACCTGAATCAACAGTAAGACCAGTTAATTAGAAATTCATTATCAAACATCAAACCAATAATCAGAGAACTGAGAGCTAGCTAGCAGCCCTACCGCAGGCATATCACTCCAGCAAAATGAAGCACCAGGTAAGCACGCAGCAAGCACCCTGTCCTGCGCTCACAAAAGCTGCAGTACCTGTGGAACACTCATTGCAGATGAATTTGCCCTTTGGCATCTCGGACAGCCCAAGGCACTGCAGGTGGAAAGCACCACAGCACTGCGCCTCACACAGCAACAATTCTCCTGGCTTCTCACAGATCTGCAGGGAAAGAAGCACAATGTAAGCTCCGAGCAACCTCCTTCCCCAACTCATCCCAGACAGCAACAGCCTGTGTGCTGGTCAGGACTGCCAGCAGAGACCCCTGTGGAAAAATGCAAAGTTTTCCTTGTGTCAGTTAATGCAGGCGGTTTGTGCACCACCACTGCCATTTGCCATCCAGTCCTTACTACCATGCATCGGCTAAAATGAATCCTACGTTGGTCATGTCTCCCTAAGGTCTGTGAACTTTAGCAGGAAGACACAATGGCAGAGGAAAGAGCACGAAAAGCTGGTTAATTCTACAATAAGCACCCTGAGGCTACCTGGGCTTACATGGGGCACCAGCATGTCCCAGAACTTACACAAAAACACTTTACAGCGGTAAAGTTTCAAGGAGATTTCTTCAAGGACACTACCTGACACACATTCTCCTTGAGAGCTGCTCCTCCACCACGCTCTCCCTGCATTTTTTTGGACGAAGGCACTCCATGGTCGTTCTCTGACCCCTCTTCGTTACCCTCTTTGGGGCTTGCAGCGGTCCCGTGAACTGATATCTCCCCCTTTAAAAAGAAATCCAGAATTAGGGCCATCAGTAGTTCCTGTCCTGACCTGCAACCTACAAATTCAGCCATCGAGCACATAACAGGTTTGGCAGTTGGTCTGTGTTACCCACCCTGGAGAGAACATCCCCCACAGAGTTCCACAAAAAGACTTAAAAGAAAGCAAAGGAAAGGAAAGAGGTCTTAGTTTACTAGATCATTAAAAAATACACACTCAACACAATTATGTTCCTGTGCATAACTCTCTCTGAGGAAGGAGTCATGGCTGAGGAAGAAAGGTACTGCCCTGCATAGAAACAAATCAGGTAGGCTGGAATAGTCTAAAGCATCCTGCATGCTGATGTCTACTTGTACTGGAAATGCAAATGAAAAACTTCAAACAATTTTTATCGCAGCTGTCACCCAGCAAATGAGCCAGACTTTTCCCCACACTTGTCTCAGCTTGTCCTAACCCATGTAAAATACAGGCACGCAGGTACTCAAGCCTGCATTAGTATGAACTAGCCGGACAACACCAAAGTGAACAGTGCAGCAGGGCATTTACCCTACGATCCTGCCTAGGGCAGTGAGTCTTTCATAAGCATCTGTCCTGTATGAGCATCACAGTACTGACTGTAACATCTTAGGGTGATGGTAACATCTACTGGTGAAAGAGCATCCTGCCGAGAAGATGGGTTTCAAAGGATAAAGGCCCAACCGCATCCTCATGGGCCAAGTCAGGGATCCTGCCATAAGGCTTCCCAAGGTGGAAGGACACCTTCCAATGTGGCCACAGGACCTGCTCAGACACTGTCAGAGGGAAGGAGAGCAGCAGGTATCCTAGAGACACTTGTTTCTACCACAAGATACTGCTGTCCTGGAGCTGCACATGGCAGCACTGCCTTCACTTTTGTCAGGACAGGCAACTAAGAGCTAGGAAACGCCATCCTGCCAGCTTCCAGGCCTCTCAGGTAGAGTCTAAACAACACTTCAGTGGTCTCACCAGCCCCAGCTGCCACTCCAGAGCCGGTGTGCCTTAAGGGCCATTAATGCTGCACCAAAGTGATGCCTTTAGCTAAGTGCTTTGAGCAAGAACATTTTAAAGACTCTGCCATTTTTTAAATATCCCAGATCACAACAGTTAGCTGAGTGATCTCAGTATGGGGCTGCCAGTTCCTCCTTGGGTCACCAAGCCATACCCAGTACATGCCCAGATACAAACTGTACACCTGAAAGACCTTGTGAAGAATTCAAATTGCTGGCAGGAGCAGCAGCCATCACTCTCATACCTTCAAGCCTGCCTGGTGCCAGGTGTCCAGCTAATGATCACAAGAGGGAGCTTTGCACCACTTTCTATATGGGAAAGTATCAGTCTGAGTTGTGGTGCTACCAAAGCTTGTAAGTTGAACTGAACGCCCTCTGAACACATTATTAGTCTGTGCAAAGCAAGGACATAAAGGTCTCCCAAAGTTTAAGGTTGGAAGAACCTGGAGCTGGTATTCTGGTCAGATAATGACGCTTCCTTTGCCTGTTTTGTTTTTTGAGTGGTCCTGTCACCGTTGTCGTCGTCCCCACCCCCTGCCATGCCCTGAATGTAACAGTATGGTTTTATGAGGGGATATTTTAAAGCCATGTCAGTTCTGTGGAGCAACGATGCACAAGTGCACTGATGGTATATTAATGCACACGGTACAAAGATGAATGGTGTAAGTTGCCTTTATTGAGCACAAAAAAAAAAAGCAAAGTCCCAGCTACAAACTACTGCCAGTCCAACATACCTTACGGTGTACAGCCTTACAGACTATCATCACAGTCTCACTGGAAGGCTGGCAGTGATGCAGCCTGTGGGAATACTGATAAAGACCACATAAGCTGCTGCCACCCTACGACACAGCCCTGGCAGAGGGAAGGGCAAGGTCTCTATGGCATTGGCAAAAACACCATCTAAGAACACAACAGCCACCTTCGCCTCTATACGCAATAGCATCTTGTCAAGCTAAGCGCTATGATACTTGTGCTCCTGCAGCTGTATTTCTGCTAGGAATTATGTAGTCTGCTGCAAGGCAGCCCTCTGGCCCAAACACTTGCTTTTGCTCCTGGAATGCTCCAGGAGCAGCACAGGCGACCAGTGCTCCAAGGACTGGTTACAGCTCAGGTCCTCCTATTCCTACATAGGTGCTCCCTCTTCTGCTCAGCTCAGCAGTGACCTCAGGGTTGCAGGGGTCACTGTAACAAAGAACAAGAGCAGGGTTAATCAGCTACTGGTATGGGCAAACAACATCAGCTATAGCTTCTGCTTACGCTGGGGCCCCAGTGTTAAAGACACAAAGTAAGCTCATCCCCTCTCATGGTCACTGAGGTCCCTGTCAGGAGGGGCAGGGTGCTGGTAAACAAGCACCACCCGTCCTGTGGTCAGTGGCACTAGCTTCCTGCTGTAGCTGAGGTTTCAAGATAGTGTTTTGGAAGGGAGGGGACATACTCAGATTTGCTACAGACAGAGGTATGAGGGATTTAGAACTGGTTCGTTTTTCCATCTTTCTGGCAGTTTCCTACCATGGCTGCTAGGACTCATTGGTTTGAACCCTGATGGCCATGTTTCATGTGTTGGTGGAATGGGAGACTAAAATGCACCTAGGAGTCACATAACATTAACCAGCAACTTCCTTCTCAGATCTGAAAGCATTTGCTAGTGGCAATGTTACCTTAACAAGTGGGACCACACTGCCCATTGTGGCACAGCATGCAGTGTGGCACAGTATGCTCTAGCCCTACTCTTTCAGCCTAAACCCATCCTATTTGGTTCCGCAAACAGCTAGTCAATCTGCACATTTCACATGCCAGGATCTTATCCTTATTTTAATCAATGCTCCCAGAACCGCATACGGAAGGGAATGTCAGAGCTAGGCAGGATGGGCAAGGCCAGACACTTGTGCTTTGTGAACATGGAGAAGGGGATTGCCATTCAAGGCCATCACTCAAAAGAAACGGTCACACTGTTCCCCCTCCTTCCCCTACCCAGCATAAGCCCTGCAAAACTACATACCTCCTCTAGAGGGCAGGTGTCTCATCTTGGGTCTTCTTCCAGAGCTATCTCTGCTGCTGTATCTGGCACATCCTCAAAGCCTGGCCTGTTCTTTGGCACAGTCTGACCTTGGCTCACAACCTTGACAACCATTTCAACAGCATTTTCCATCCCCTTCTCTCAGTCTCTTGCTGCCCTGATGTTGTAAACTTGCACTCCTAGCTCCACAGACAGGCAAGGACAGAGAAAGCTGCTTAGTTCAGCCCAGGCAGACAAGCTTTTCTCTGCCCTCTTTTCCTCTGAAAGCAGCTGGATCCAAGGCTTCACTGCAATATTATCATCAGACCATCTATTTCTTCTAGCACCATTCAGCACAAAGTGGAGTTCCTTGCCTGGTGTCCGGAAAGTCACTTAGGCACCAGTGTGGTCCAAATTCCATGTGAAAGCACAATTACACCTCCACAGCACCCCAACACTCACCAGTACCCATGCACTCACCTAAGCCAAGGGGTGCACACTCTCACCACAGTGGCTCAAGAGACACAATCACAGTGAAATGGATGCTGCCAAAAGGTGCCAAGCATTGCCTTGCCTTTTTTTTTTTTTTTTGCATGGTTTACCATACCTAACTTCAGGTACTCAACACTGATGTCTAAGGCTGGAGGCAGTTAAGACTCCCTGGGCTTCCTCTGCAGTGAATGATGGGTGCAGGTTTCAGAGACATGGCCTAGCTACTTTGCTGCTCTGAATTGCACCCTCTTTTCTTCACTATAAAAGATTCAGAGAATTTGTGGCTCAGAGCTGAGCCAGTCTCTTAGTGGGTACCTAACAGCAGACAGTGTTAACTGCCCCCCAGCATTGGCAAAGATAATTGTACAGACTTCCTTGAAACATTATTCCAGATGAGCACACTTCAGAAAGAGCATCAGCACCATCACAGGAAGGCTTGCACGGCCCAGGGGTATTACCCCACTTTATCACCCCCATCATAAACATGCTCTTCAAAAAGCAGTAGCAGCAACGTGGCTGGCACTGCTCGAAGTGGTGTGAGGTTTGTGTTCTCCTGGAAGCTGCATAACAACAACAAATAAAACAATATATGTCTATAATTGGCTCCTGAAATACATACTGACTATCCTGACAGAACAGCCTGCTGCTGAACCTGGGCCACTGGAAGTGAGAGGCGATGGTGAGAGGCCCAGAGGTGTCCCGCCTCTCCCTGGAAAAGTCTTGCTTCCCCTACACTTGATGATACCTGGCTCATTCCTAAAAGGCAAAATGTGCTTGTCAGAGATATTTGTACGCCGACGCTGCTGGGATGCAGTAGAAGGGAGTTACCCCAATTATCCCTTTCTGCTGGATGGCAGAATGTAATCAGAGGCTCCTGTGAGCAGTCACATACAGTCCCCCCATCCCCTCCAACGTGGTTCTTAGCTCACCCTCGTGTGCAGGTGCAAGTGGAAGAAGGGGTTGAAGTCCACAGTCTAGTGCTTGTGCTTCATACTGGTGTGTAAAAGGGCAAGATTATCACCACCACCAGAGAAGACCTTTTACAGCAGTTGGACCTTCTGAGGTACAAAGCAAGATGCCAGGCAAAACCTGGTTCCATCAGATCAGAATAGCCTCTCTCCTGGAGAATTAGCTGAGTAGCAGCTTAAAAACTGAGCCCGAGTTAAGCAGTCATCACAAAACAGCTACTAAATTAAAGTGGTATCTTCAGCTTCAACCCCAGCTCAAGCAACTACATCAGTGGGACAAGCTCCCAACTGACATGCCAGCCAACCAAAGACGACCTGGCCTAGGCTCTGCAAAGTGCCCTGGGAAGTAGCAGACAGGTTATAGGGATGACAACATGTAGGAAGACCCAACAGTACCTCAGAGTGTGGGGTCTCCCCCAGCCCCTCCTCAATTCTCTCCTTCTTGGAATGCATTGCAGCAGAGGTATGGCGCTGTCTCTTCCGCTTCCGCTGCTTCTCCAAGAGCTTTTCAGAAGCTGGGATGCAACAGAAAGACCGCTCAAGGAAAATGCACAAATAATTCCCTTGCTACAGGTGCCACCAGCAAGTTCTACACCCTTTCTGAGAGCTTCAGGCTGGGTCCTACTGTCTTTGAGGGCATAAGGGCTGGGGCAATACGAGCCTCCAGGCAGTCTGCCCTCTGTCCTGCAACCATTGGAAGACCACCGATTCCTACTGGTTTAAGCTTTGTTTGCTAGGCTGCTGAACAATATCACTGCCTTTCCTGAGGCAGCCACACCAGCAGAAAAGAAGAAATGCTACCAACACAAAGCTTACATTACTAATCAAATGCTGATAACTACCTCCTCCCTCCGCAACAAAACCTCATGTTGATACCAATGTGATACAAAGGCAGATGGGGAGGGAGTACAATGCAACTGCACAACCATCCATGGGACAGGGCGGCCACCATTGAGCCTGGTCACAGCATGTCATCAGGCAAAAGACAGCGTACTGGTACAGGACCCATGCTGACAAGTTTTCTTCAAGCACCTAGACTATGAATGAGAAGCGAACATCTTCTCATGGAAATATGAACGCTCCATCTCCACTTTCCACAGGGAAATCAAAGACATTAACAGTACCTTGGGCACACAATCTCGGTACCTCTTTCTTCTGCCACTGCTTTAGCTGAGGCAAGCACCCTCTGAGAGCCCAGGACACATAAGCCCTTACACACACACACACACATACACACACAAAAACACAGGCACTGATCCAAATGTCATCAACAGTCTACCCGCACAGCCCTCCCTTCACTTACCTTCTCCCAGGTCCGAGAAGTGGGCTGGTGAATAGAGCTCAGAGCTGTCACTCTCTGAAGGGCCAGTGCCCTACAAATACACAAGAGATTCAAGTCACCAGATGCAAATCAGAGATGCATGTTCCTCAGCCACTCAGAGCCTTTACGAATGACTGCAACATGTAACTTACAGTTCAGGTCATGAATTCATCAGTGATCAGGGACTTTACAAAAAAAACATTTGTTTTGTGTGTGTTTGATAGATCGCATATGGAAAAGTCAGTCTCTGGTCAGGGAGGAATACCGAGTCTGTTGCGTCTTGTGCTCACCAGCATCATCCGCTGTTTCCTGAGCTGTCCCAAAAAGGCTAACACCCTGTAAGCTGCTGGGAACAGAGACTCTCTTCTGGCTTTACACTTTTACAGAGCTTAAGACTGAAATACTTTGGCCTCTGCATTACTGCAAACATGATAACTGCATTAAGACTGTGCCACACAGAGAAAAAAGAAAGGAGGAAAACTTAATAATCAACCTTAGAAACAGTGGCAACAAGTATTGTGCACGTACACCACCTGAAATAATTCTTTACAAGTTGCTTTTTTCCAAACCATGTCACTGAATATTTTGAGTATGTAGTGGAGAAGAGCAGCATTTTCTTTAAAAATCTGCACCAAGCACTGTATACTACATGTGATACAACTCAAGCCTCCATCCTGGTACAAGCTCTGCACTTCTGTACCATTCACCAGCTCACTTGGGAAGGTAACAAAGGAAACACTGCTCGGAGGAAATCTGACGGAAAAGGACAAAGCCTTAGATTCAAGCTCAAGCTACACTGCAACGTAACGGTAAGCCTCTGCGCAGAACATTTCTGCTTACACCTTCCTAGCCACTGACTCCTTTTCCATATAAACCAATGAAGAGAGGAGATTTTACAGCCAAACTACCCAGTCCCCTTTACAAGTGGGGAGGGGTGAGGAACACATCTGTATTCAGCAGATTTCTTCATCATAACACAGGAACCAGCACCTTTGGAAGGGTGGACCTTTGCTCCTGGGCCACAGCCAACAAAAAACCATAGGCCATTGCACTATGTCTCGTTCAGCAGGACCTGCTGTCCAGGCTTGTTTTTCTATCTGGTTTTCAAAGAGCTGGAAGGAAAGTACCTTCTTTGGGGGAGTCCACTCCTCCTTCTTTGGCATAAAGGCAGTGTCCAAATCATTGGATTCCAAGAGCTTTTTAGTGGGCTTCCTCTGACGCTTGCTTTCGAAGTTTCCTGCAATGAAACTCTTTACATCAGATAAACAGGGGGTTTCTTCTCTTCAATCAGACTAAGACCATTAAGCAAATATCAGCCAACTTTTCAAAACAATCTGTTTCCCCCCATCTTTGGGATCATAAGCTCCTTGGACAGAGATGCCAATTACCTGTTTCTGTACAACTTCCACAAAAATGGACCTCAGTCTGCCATGACCTTCAGGCATACCTCAATATGCAACAGAGAAATCCACCCACAGAAGAGAGACTATGAAGTCAATGCCAGCAGGTAACATATCCTGGCAGCGCAATTCAGATCGTAATTTCCCAATCACTTTGAACTGGCATAAGCCAGTCCTACCACTGACAAATACAGCCCTGCCTCCACTCCCACACCACTCCCACCAGCATTCATGCCGCACATAGTAAACAGGCTAAAGGACATGCTCCTGGTTAAAACTACCTGGGAAAAGACACACGAAACACTTGCTGTAACCTGCACCATTTCCTACTCACACTTTTTGCTGGCACCCAGGAGGTAACAAGTTGCTAGGCCTGAGTTCATCCACACTAATTTTGGCAACAGTATGAACTTAGAATGACTAGGAAATGATGATGAGTGTAAGACACTCCACACAAACAGCCTGCTACCCATCCCACCCTGTTATCTGCTTGCTTTACCAGCCTCAGCTGTGCCCTCTCTGTGACACACACTTCTGTGTGCACTGCTTATGCATCAGATACCTAATGGAGGGACAACATGGCATCATTCTTAAGGCAAGCCTCTTGGGCTCTGTGTGCTTCAGCAAGAGGCAAGTTTTCTCAGCAGGGGGAAGAGCTATGCAACCTCTGCATACTGGATGTTTGCTCCCACTGCTGCACCCTGTACTGCTCTCCTACATCTCCAACCTCAGGTTCACATCCCCAGTTCTTCCTCCTTTAATCCTCTACAACTTTCCATTTCCATCTGACACCCACAAGCCCCCAAAGGCAATCCCTCTGCCCTCAAACGTAACAGGCTAACTGACCTCCCAGTGACCGTACCTCTTTGTCTACTTGGTTTAATTTTTTTGACCATAGGCCTTTTAGAATAGGAACAGTGTTCTCTCCAAGTTAGCATAGCCAGAACACCAGGGCTTTAACCCTGAACATGTCTTTAGACACTACTAGAGAATGAATGTACTGCAAAGCAGACCCTGATACTGACTCTTGTCGGAAAGGGGCAAAGCCTGTCAGACCACACTCGCTCTTTGTATACCAAGCCTTACTGAAAGCTAAGGCCCTGGCTTGCTGCTACAACAAGTCTCTGACAATTTCTACAGATGTTTAGAAAACCTCTAAGAAAAATAGTTTTTCCGGAGAGATTTCTGTGCTACAATTCCCTGAGCTCACTAGGAGAACAAAAGCTCACCCCACCAGCTATGCAGATTAGACTTTGCATATCAACCTCAGCACAGCAATGTTCATCCAAAGGGTTTTAACAGCAGCAAAAGACCTTCAAGCTAAAGGCATGCCACTGTTTGCAAGCACAGATGGCAAGAACTCAGAGAAGGAGCTGTGCCTTTCTTCATTTGGACAAAGCAGTATTCTGTGCCAGGACCTAAGGAGGTCCACCACACACTACAGAAAGCTAATAGCATAAGTGTAATTATCCAGCTCACTGGGTCACCCACTGCATTTGCCCTCTCTCACTTCCCAGCACCAGTAACGATCATTGACCAAAGCAAAGCATAAACAAACTAACAGATTAACAGCTACTAACCTTTTCACGCTGACCGAGGCAACAATTTCTGCTGAAATTGTGACACATTCACTTATGGGAGGCAAATCACACAACCTCCCACTTACCTGATTTCAGGAATCTCTCTTCTGCATCTGGAGAAGCAGAAACTTCAGAAACATCTGAGGAAGACAGCACCAGCTCTGGAAAACTTGAAGGTCCTTCCAGAAGTTGAGCAGTGGGATCAGTGGAATGGGATCCTAGTTCTGAGAAGGAGCACTCTGCTTCAAGGATGGGAGGGCACTCTTTGGTTGAAGATGGAGTTGAAACCAAAGGACTCTGCCCCCGCTGGGTATTTCTGTCAGGACTGCATTGTGCAGGAAGACCTCCTTCAAAATCAGACCTCACCACAGAATTCACCTGGCATAGTAAAACACATTGGTGAAAACATTCATCCTGCACGGCACTGTACACAGCAAGAACTCAGTCAGCAAGAACACACCAAAAGCATGCAGACCAGAGTCCCAGAGCAATAACCATGAAAAGCACATTAGCCTTCACCCACCTTTTGCAATTGCTCCTGGCCCTTCTTTGATTTTTTCTTAGGTGCAAATAAGTGATCATATTCTTCTGCATATTCCAGAAGCCGTTTACTTGGTTTTCTAAGGCGTTTCCTCTCTGAATGTACTAAAAAAAAAAAAGGAAAGCAGCTTCAAGACTGTGTTTCTGAGACAATCACAAGACAAAATTCTCCTCATGATCTGTAGATAGTAGTTGTTCCTGCCTTCTCCTCCAGAGGCTCTGTGTGGGAAGAGCCCTGATACTTCTTCCTCTTTGATACAGCCTTATAATTTTGGAGCTTCCTATTTTCCACAGTCCTGACGTGGGAGGTGGTATTTTTAAGGACCTAAGGGACTTCAAGCAGTTCAGGTAAGTAATCAAAAAACATGAGATATCTGACTGAGAGGCTCCTGGAATTTCACCCAACATCTCCCTAGACAAACTACACCTAACCTTCTTGCAGTACTTTTACCAAAACCTAAGACAATTAGCAACTTGGACTCATCATGCTACTTTTGCTGTTAACCCAAACTCCTTTGTTTTTAGTGCAGGGGCACAGGAAAACACTGTTTTTCCATAACACAGTTCACTCACTAGTTTCACTAGTAACATCTAAGCCTAACTCCCTCCTTTCCCCTCCCCTCCCTGGCATATTTTTGTATATACTACAAGAGCCTTGTAGTCCCCATCTGCTACTGCAAGCCCATTTATTGCCTTTGCTTCCTGACAACAGGTTCCACAATGAGATCAGGGAGTGAGTAGTCCTCACCAGTGACAAGCTCTTCAGGGCTCATATGTCTTTGTGTTTGCACAATGCTGCACCATTGCAAGGGAAACCCGGTAACAGGTGTTTCCTCGACACAAACCTAACCACTCATACTATACCACCTCAACACCCCAACACATGGCAAGCTCCAAAAAAAAGAGCCCTGATCTACGTCATCTCTACTCAGCAAGCTGCAAAACCATGATGATGCAAGTTTATGTCTTGTTCTCACTTCCTGGAATACCTCTGACTTTTCCCCTTTTTTAGTTTTCAAAAGTATTAAATAATATTTAAAATATTAAATATTATTAAATTATAAAAAATTTAAAATATTTTTTTAAAAAATCAAAATATTTCTCCTAGTCACGAGAACATTTGCAGTCTCCTGGAAGTTTAGGAACAAACAGTAAATACTCTTTGCTTCTTTTGATGTGCAGAAGGTGGCTTTTTCTTCTTTAAAATGGAAACATTTTATAACAAAGCATTCCAGTGCAACACTTCAGAACAGGGATGTTGGACAAGATTGCTACACTTTATTGTGGCTTTGTGGTTAAACAAGCATGAAAACGTCAAACTTGGCCAAAAGAGAAGAAAGGAACAACTTTCTCAAACACAGCTATTTTCAGCCTCTATTAACACTCTGCACAGGTGTCTGGGTGAAATACACATTTCAGTACATAACCAGTTATAGGATGAGTATCCTCTACTGGACAACTATTTAGAGCCCCAAAGCCATGCAGTAGAGCACCACAGTGCTGTGCCAGAAGGGCTGGATTAATTGCATTTTTTTTTTTTCCCCCCAAAGCAAATCCTGTACAAGAATCCCAAATGCAGTCTGATTGGCACCGGCAAATCACATACCTGACGAAACTATTATTTATAAAAATGTTTTACGTCAGCAAATTCCACCAATCTTCACTTCTGCCTTATTTGCTCTAAATTGTACCACAAAGTTTGTAGCAAAAATATGTCAAATGTTGCCATTCAACTATGAAGACTTTATATAGTTTGAGCTTAGTGGAAACTACACAGTTGTGACTGCAATACGTTGTGATCTCTTACACTGGTACTTTGCCTGCTGTGGACGAGGATTAGCCATGTCTTCTCAAAGCACTGGCAAACAGAGGAAACTCCTCTTCTGTAAGCTGCAGTTAGTCTAACTTCCAGCATCATTCTCTCTACTTTCTATGTAATTTCTATGCCTGATATAAAAAGAAGACTAGTTTCCACAAATGGGCTTTTCACAGCATTAGAGGTTTACTCACTACCACCAGCACACTGGGGATGTTACAGCAGTCCAGACAGCTCCTCATAGACAGAAGCTCCGGTGCCTCCCTATGGCACATCTGCATAGATAAGCTTCAAGGCTCACATGGTATTTAAAGCAGAGGAATTAGATTACACTGCAGTTGCTGATCTGCCACTTTTGCAGGCAAACCCAGGCCCTCACTGTTGCTGCATCCCTGTTTGCATCACCAGGACAGCTCTGCGTTCCTCTCCACCAATGAAACTCATCGAGGAGCCTGCTGCTGCCTTCCTCTGCCGCTTCTCTCCTAACATTACTACCTCTCAGCAGCTCTTCTTCTCTAGCTCTCTCTGTAGACTTGTATCTTCATCTCACATAGCAACACTACAGGGATGCTTCAACTGCAAAACCATTGTGAAGCCATGAGAACCCAGCTGCATCTTAGTGCAAATGAGGAACTTGCTCCCTCTAGCAGGCTGCGACATTCCTGCGGCAGAGCCTTGACAGCCCCAGAACAATGTGCATCCTCTCACCTGCTCTGTGAAGACTTAAGTCCTCAAAACCACACAGCAACAGCCAGAGGAGTCAGTGAATGATTAAGCTTGTCATGATTTCAAACCGGAACTTTTACCCCCTTTGTTACACCCTACGGGCTCGTTTTCTGTGCCTGCTGTGACTTGCCTTGGGCAGGTCCTTTGACCACCAAGCCAAGAGCTGCCTTTTCCACACTGAAACAGAGGTGCAGGCAACCTCCAGCAACCACTAATAGCAAAAGACACCAAAATGTGCACTGAGGGAACACGTAAGTGACAAAATGCAGAGGTTCAAAATTCTGTCAAGTTACAGTAATCTACAATAACTGCAAATAAATCAGAGCAATTTAGTTTGGTGATCTATGTAAAAAATTAATTTTGTTGTTTTCATTAAGGTTTGCTTCCCCAGATTCTTTGCAGAAGCCTGAGGATGGTATGTGTTGAATGTGGTTCTGCTGGACCTATTCCCTACAAACACACTTTTTTTTTTTTTTTTTTTTGGCTTTAACCAAATGGCCCCATGTCCATGGGAGAGGCACGGCTGTCTGACCTTGTGGTCCTCAGAAGCAGTCTCCTTCCTAGGCCATTTCCCTTCCAGTGATGCTGCCTTACTTCTGCCTGCCATCTTCCAGAACCACCTCCAGCCCAGGCTCCCTGGCAGCTTCCCTCTCTTCTGTTCTCCCCTTCACCCCTCAGGCAACCACACCAGAGCTGTAAATTAGGAAATCTGTGGGGTTCCCCAATTCATTATTAGCAGCTAATAAAATTCCACACTAAAACGCCAAAAAAACCCCAACACTTTGTCTCAAGGAAATCCTACAGAACAAACCAAAGACAGACTTTATGTCAAACAGCACTAAGGCAAAAAAAAAAGTAAGAGCAGCTATTGAAGCTCAGTTTCCCACAACTTTCTAGCGCTGATCTACCCAGCTAACACCAAGCATGTGGCTCTAAGAAACACATTATGAACGTCTAAGTTTAAAAAAAAAAAAATCCAAACTCTGAAGGATGCTTATTTTACCTTTCACTGTGGAGGAACTAATGATTTGTAATGTATTTAAACTTTCTGACCAAAAAGCTAAGCAAAATCCTGTAATTGCTCTGCCTGCTTTGTTCTCCATGCTTACAGAGAACCCAAAGCCAACATATCATGCTTTCTTCAGCTCAGATGTATGCATCTCCATGTTGTCAAACAGCCCCAAGTTCCATAACTTATATTTTAAATGAAAAAGTATAAAATGTATACAAATACACACTCTGGCGCAAGTCCAGCTCCCTTACCTTGTGCAGAGAATTCAGACTGGGGAGCAAAGTTGCCAAGCTCTGTTTCTGAGTCCATCACACTGTTGTTTGGCTTACCACATACATTCAAACGTTTCTCAACTAAGTCTAAATGATTCTCATAGTCCTGATCTGTCAGGTCTCCCTCAAGCACCTTTGAATGAGGGGAATGCCTACGTCCCAAGCACTCATTTCCCTTCAGTGAAAAGCCACGAGAATTCAGGCCAAAGGCACTCTCCAAGTTTCCTTGTTCCCTAGATCTACTGATGTGCTTATTAGATCTAGCACTGCTTTGGTTAAAACGCTGCCATCGCTTTTTGGGTGCTACGTGATTTATATCATTAGACTCATCACCAAGAGAGCTCTCACTATTTGCCTCTGAATCCAAGTCTGGACTCTCCCCATTTTCAGCAGAAGTGCAGCTCTCAATATTTCTACCAGCTTCAGGTCTCCTTCCAATACGACCTAAATTGTCATCAGATAAACAGGCAGAGTCTTCATCAGTTGAATGTTCTCTTAAATCAACAGACTCTTTCCTCTCAGTATCTTCTGCTTCATTACCTAGAGGACTGGTAACCGAACCATGAACGCGGAATGCATGTTCTCCTGAATCTCTGGAAAACCGACTTAGCAACTTACTTGGCCCTCCTGGTTTTAAGTCCTTTCTGTTTGAAAATGTTTTATCTCCAAGCTTTGATGACTGCTTAGATTTTGAACAGTTGCGTTTGGGCATGCAATTTGTGCCATTTGTCCCAGAAACAGCAGTACTTGCGGGCTCCCTTTTACTAGTACCAATCCCCGTCAACTTGGTTGGAGGATTGCATGAAAATGAGGAGTTGCTTAGAGCGGAGTTTGGATTTACTGTTTCCTGGACACAATCTCCATTTTTTTCTATTTTATATGGGGGACCTACAATAGACAAGGACTTCAGACCACTCGTGGAATTGCTTGCAGAACCATCAGCTGTGCTGGTATTTCGAAATGGGACTATATTTTGACTAGTCATCAGTTGCTGCTCTTTTGTCTTACTGTCATGCATATCCTTCAACATCATTAACAAGGTGCTGAATTTGTAATCTGGTTCAATAGGCAAACGACCATGACCAGAGGCGGAAGAGAAAAGTAAAGGTACTGTGGCCTTTGGAGCGCCAGAGTCACTAGCATCATCATTCATGGACCGGTAAGACAGCTCCTTCAGCTCTGACAAGACATGTTTCACCACAGCCGTTTCTATTTCAGCAGAATCCCTGGGTTTCTCATGCATGTTGTTTAACAGTTTCTGACCATCAACTTTCCCGCTTCTCTGAAGAGAATCTCTCTGAAGGCCAGAGAAACCTTTGGTATCAGAAGAGCAGCGATTCACGCCACCCTCCTCTTCTGCACGAGAAGACTCCAACCCAGCAACTTTTTCTTTATGTTTGCATTTTATACTCCTGATTCGGGGCAATTTCACACTTTTAGGTTTTAAGATTGCTTGATTTACAACAGCAGGCCAGGAGCTGTCCTTGGAAACACTTTGGGGAGTAGTGTGCTTCTTTGCTAGGGAAAGATTGTCATTTCTCACATCTGAAGAGCGCTCAAGAGCCGTCAATGACATCTCAGCATCAGAGAAGCCTACTTCAAGCTCCCCATCCGCAAATTCAGCATCAAGCCTGCTGGTTAGTGAACCTCCCAGAAGTTTGCGATCTCTGTATGACTTCTTCCTGGCCCTTCTGTTGCTCTTCTGAGAAAGATACATGGAAAGCTTAATGTTTCCACTTGACGTCATAGGAAATTCCTTCTCCACTTTATCTGAAGAATCACTAACTTCAAGAGCACTAGAGGCTCTCTCTGAACTTTGGTCCATGGTGTCTACATCACTGTTCCCACCATCTGAGAGGGAAGAGGATGAATCCGATTCAGTTTGCTTTTTCTCAGTACCAGCATCAGATGCAGAATAGTGTATTTGTAATTTGGAACTGCACAAAATGCCCAGGGAGCTCTTCTCTCTCTCCAAAGATGCACTGGAAAACAAATCCCCTTGAAGAGTGTTCTTCAGAGCATCACTTTTACGATTCTCGTAGCCCGGTTTCAAAGGTGTCTTTTCAAAACGTCTTTCTCCAAAGGAGGAAAGCAAATGGTTTTCCCTGGTGCTACTGGATGCTGTTAGGCTGCTGGCAATCCGGCGAAGTTCATGAGACGCGTGTTTATCTGGTAGGTCCCCAACAATCATGCTTCTAACTATGCTCTCTGGCATTTTTTCTCTGATTTCTGCCCTAGATGCTTCCCCTCTTGCACCACTCTTTTTTACTCTAGTCCTTTTTCTGCTGTCAGAGCTTTTTTTCACATGTGGCTTAATGTGCAATTTTCCTTTTTCACTGGCTGGGTGTCTGGAGTCAAATGCCAAGGATTTAAAACAGCCATTCAGCTGCCTGTCCCTTTCTGCTCCAGGGCCATTGGCATAGTATTCCGACTGCAATTCCTTCTCACTATCCAGCTCGCTGGAGTTCTGGCTGCACTTTTGATCCTCTGGCCCACCGAGAAGAATGTCTTCTGCCTGTCCAACACTGACTTCCCATTTAGCCATAAATCTTTGAGGAACCTTAAAGTTGGAGGAGACAAAAAAAAGAGAAAGAAAAAATTTGAGTGGGTAACCAACAAGATAAAAGTGAGATTGAGGTGCACAAGGCACGAAACAGAGTGACAGTCCTGCATTTTGCATCTTTAAGACAATCACATAGATCCCCAGAGACTGCCTAGTGGACACACAAAATACTGCTCCTGGATAAGTATCCTGCACTCCTGCTGAGCCTAATAAAAATCACTGTGCATTCCCAAAACAGCAAAAAGGTCCCTGCAAGCACAGGTCTCCCAGGAACCAGATGTCCTCACATCCCAGCACACCCTGAACACAACAGCCTGGTAAAGGGGAATACATATGGTATGGATCCCTGGCACAAAAACGCAAAGCAACAGCCAACAAGCCTCTCAACACAAATGCAGCATCATTCTCCTCAAAGTATTTGAGCAGACATGTTTGCTTGTGTTCATTCTTTATTCTTCCTGCATCCCTTAAACTCGGAGCACGATTCAATCTTCCTTCTCCATCAACTCACCTTGGTACAAACATGAGATACACACACATATCTAAAATGTACTCTATCAAATTCAAGATGTCCATTACCGAGAAGTCTCCCAGCTTTAACTCTGTACTTTAGTATAAAACAAAAAGCACTCTGCATACTGGACAGGAACCTCTGCTAATGTCTAAAACCAGCATGAAACTTGTTTCTTATCTGCATGTGTAGTTTTTGGCTGTACAACAGCAAATCAAAGGCTGCACAACTGCTCCTAAAATCAAAACCAATTCCAAGGCAGGAGGAACAACTCAAATTTCTGACACTTTTCCTTTAAAAAAACCAACACACCAACAAAATCTCATCCCAGCAGGTTAAAGTTTTATGGAGCTTTATAGCAAACCAGCCAAATACTCTCAGCTTTGCATCAGATCTTGGCTTCCAGGGATGCAAACCTGGACATTTATGTGAGTAACAAACATCTGATTCCCTCTACTGCATCCACACTGGCACTGCCATTTACATATAGGATGAGATTCTAGCCACGCAGCACTTCTAGGACCAGGAAAGTTGCTTGGGAGCATGTAACTAATTGTTAACGGGCTGGGAACACAAGGAGAGAAGTCCTTAGACAAGATACCAAACATGCCCTTGGAAAAGGAAAACCCAATGAAAGCATTACTCCTGGGCGCTCACATCTACAAGAGCATGTTTAATCTGATGGTTTTGCATTAACATGGGTTAAGTACTTAACTGCTAATAAACCTCTTGGAAAAAGAAAAACCAGACCCTATGGCCTAGTATGACTATCTGCTCTCTTACAGTAACGCAGTAGCCTCTGTACTTCTTCACTTTAGCAATTCTAAAAAGTTAATTTCTCCAGTCACCTTCCTGAAGATGTAGACCAGACCCCTGTGTCACATTACATTATACTGGCTACAGCTGCTCAGGGCTGTTATGTTTGGAAACAGAGATGATGCGATGAACCACAAAACTCATTCCCGCAGGCTCACTGACAAAGCATTTTCCAAGTCAAATTATAAGTCCTCACAGGTTTCTATACAGAGAATTACTGAAGCAGGGCTAAAAGCTCCACTGCTTTATCTCAGTCAGTGACCTAGTGAAGCGTGCAACTCCACCTCTGCTTCAGATCAGCCAAGAGAGGCTGCCAGAGAGCACAGGAAGTTATTTAGAAGCACGCTGTAATAGACATCAGGAGAGGGCTGCGCTGCTGAACAATCTCACACCAACAGAGACCTGACTCCTCTGCCTCTCAGAGCTGTCTAGGGCAATAAAAGCAGCAGGCCACACCCCAACATAAAAGAGAGCCTAGAAACTCCTGGCAGCTTATAAACTATGCTCGTTGTAAGGATGCAAAGAATCACTTCCCCGGCCGCGTTGCTGCATTGACTGCCACAAAAGAAAGCTGTTGAAGTGCAATTCCAGGCATAAAGGAATACTTTGTACTGTGCAGATTCAAAGAATCAAAAACATATTAGAGAAAACAGATCTTTCACCTTATGTTTGTAGCCTTTTTCCTTTTGCTTTCCTCTTCTCCGAAGAACAGGCAGCTCTTCAAACTGATGTCTTCCTTCAAAGAGTACAATAGCTTTCCCAGCAACCCAGGTTTTCTCTGAAGGTTCTCCTAAGGCATCCACGTAGTACTCTCGGTATGGTCTCCGATTGGAAACTATTTTGAGAAATTTAACATAATTAACCCTTTGCATATAATAAAGACACACAGAAAGAATCACAGAAAGCAGTAACAATTTGCCAGTTAATTTTCAACGACTTTTTGCTTAATAACATTCCCACATGAATGCCATTTCTGGGGATTTCTACTCAGAACTAAAGGAGACCCCTTTGATCTCTGCTGTCTATGTTCTGTGTTGCTAATCTCTATTTTTAAATATTTTTTTTTTCTTACAAACAATTGATTAACAAGTCTAAGATGGGTCATCTCCTTAGACCAAAGACTACAGTTTGGTTGCAAAAAAAATTGAAAAAATATCTAAGTATGTTTTTTCCTTAAAAGACAAAACATACTAGGCAGGACATTTTCTTTTTTACTACTCCCTGATTAATGATTAAACAGTCCAGTCGACTTGACCATTGGGAAAAGGCAACAGCGTGCTGGCAACACCCAGAAATGACATCCTTCTGGATAGGATTTACTCATACGGGTTGAACCTCCCCCCACCATGATATATCCCATCTTGCTCAATGCTTTGTTACAAAACAAACTCTTATTTAGAACATAAAACATTAACAGCAATATTTAAGTAAGTACACACATGCACAAACACTCTACAAGGACTAGGTGCAACATGACAAAACATAAGCTGCAATGAGTATCTCCATACTTCAGGCACAAAGGTGCAGAGCAAGAGAAGAAACTCAATCATAAAGGCACAATCAAAGATTTTTTCAAAGGTGCTTTCTGTGCAAGAATGCTGAACAGACATGGTACAATTAAGAACTGAACCAGTACTGGGTGTGCTGGTGAAAAAGTACAGGTTACAAGCATTAGAACAGAGCAAACAAGGCTTGAACAAGGGATATAAACTTTTCCCTGCATTTCATTGCAATGTGTGCTTCACGTTCTCTTGGGAACACCTTCACCCTCTCAACACATAGCCTAGACTTCGCAGCCCATTTGGTTTGTGCTGCCTCTTCCAGGAGTGCCAGCACAGTGCAGCAGCCTGGCCTTTAGCGATGCTGACACTGAGATTCTGACCAAGACCACTGAGAGGATGACAAATAACGACCAGGGCAACACCAAAGCAAGGGTAAAGATGATGGACTTCACCCATCCCATTGACAGTACTGGGACTCAAGCCACTGATCCTCAATCTTCCAGCTCCAAAAATCTTAAAGTCAAGAGCTTGCTGAGAAAAGGCAAACTGCTTTAAACAGAACACCATGCCTTAAACCTAAGACAAGAAGAGGTTTTTGCACAAGTGATGAGTTTGAAGCGACCTGCCTTATTTTGAAGGGCTTGTTCCCTTGGCAACAGGAGAGCCAAGGCAGGAGGACTGTGCTTCCTATGGTGCACATAGAGCCCCAGCAGCTCCCCCTGCCCAAAAGCACCAGAGTTCAGATGCACCCAGCTCTGTCACCTCAGCACCAGGGAGGGGAGACGAGCAGATTACATACAGCCACAACTGGAAAATGCAATTTTCCCCAGAGCTCTATTGGTTTGAACACGGATAAAACATGATGGGAGAGTCTATCGTGTAGCTGGAGATCAGACCTTGCTGGAATTTGTTAATAGCACGTTTCCTCCCTGCAGAATTCCTTTCTTAGAAATCCTTATACACAGGCTGAGGGGGAATTACTGGACAGCTATATACATTAAATCCTGTCCAACACTTCATTGGGAAGGATGCAAGGGGGAGAATATATGTCTAGCATATCTTCCAGCAACACCTTCAACAGGAATTTGAGAGCTCAAAAGGGACTATTTAAAACAGCACATTCAGTATTATCTAGAATGAGGATGAATGCCTCCCAAAGGATGAAGGGGAAGGCAGACAAATAGCAAGGAAGACTACAGCAAGCAGACTTGGGGATGATGTGAGCACAATCTAGGAAAAGCTACTTCATGTCTCTAGAGAAAGAGCAGAGAGCTCTCAGCTGATGGCCACTCCAAAAAAAGACTACCCACTCTCAGCACTTGGTTCTTAGGCTGGCAAGGGCCACAAAAACTGGAGAGAAATACACTGGTGAGTGGTAATCTCACCAGTCTACAGAGCTGTCAGCAGCAGACAGCACCAGTTCAAGAGGTTTCAGTTGCCCACAGAACAAAAAGAATCAGAAAGGGATACCAAGAAGAAATAAATAAGCCTTTTCATTTGTGGCAGTCTCCCTATGGCAGCTAGTATGATCCTAAAAGAAAACCAAACAATCACTTCCCCTCTGTTCTCTCCATCACTCACCTACACTTCTCTGCGTTGAGCTTGTAAGACTCTCTTCCTTTGCGGCTCTCCCCTGTGCTCATGCACACACAGCTCTCATTTCCCCCATCTCTTCCCCTCACACTCAACTGCCTCTTAGTCTCTCTGACACACTATGCCCTAAACTTTCACATTATGTGGCTCCATCTCCAGGTTTTTCCAGTATTTCCCCGTAAACAGGCCCTTGCTTCCTTGTGCCAAACAAGACCAACAAAATTTCACTTCCTCACACACATTCCCATCACACCTTCAGGCATTCAGCAGCTACACTGCGCTACCCCACACCCCGCTTCTCAGCCTCGCCAGCCTCCCATTCTCCAAGCCTGGCTGACTGTCCATGTCTTCACACACTCCAGGCTTCCCCAGCTCTACTTGCCCACCCATTGCACATCTCTGTCCTTACCTCTCTGATCCACCTCCTTTTTCTCTGCTCTTTCTCTGCATCCCTTTTTGAGAGGTTGCTTGTTCTTCTGCACTACCCTGAGCTCAGCCCAGCTACTCATCCTTCCTATACTCTGAGAAGGAAAGCTTACATGTCCAAAAAACTACCTGTGCCACTTCCATCAGCCTCAGTCCCATCTTCATACTGTCACCTCCCTGATCGAGGTCTACTTTATAGATCCAGGTCTTCCATGCCAGAGTCTATTTCTTCATACCTTTCAAGGGCCAGGAATGTTTTTTAAATTAATTAAAAACTGCAGCACCTTGCCATACACAATGCCTCCACTTCATGGTCTGAACAGATACAGTACCTTTCATTTTTGAGTGACAGTCCAGCACTGGGTCATGACAAATTGTGCATGGCCACCATGGGCGTCTGTTGAACTTGGCCCAAACAAGATCCCCAACTTCATACTTCACTGGAGTAGGTTTCTTCTTGGCTCGGATCTTTGGGGAAAAACCAGAACACAAGAAATCACTAAAGCTCCAGATGCTTTTAAAGAGATTTGCCTCCCCCCTGTGTGCAGATTACATCTGGCCACCAGAGACATTTACATTAAAAAGCAAGTCCTGATTTTACTTAGTGGCTCCTACACCTTCAAAGAACAGGATAGTTCTCCCCATCCTTCTGAAAAAAACAAAACAATAAACTAGGGTTTGAGAGGTTTTTTTGTTATTTTTTAGTAAGGAACATGACCTCTGGTAAATGACTGCACTCAAACTTCACACATCTGAGCAGATAAATATTTGGAGTCACTGCTAGCCCCCATTACTTCACTAAACACCAATTTGTTCATTTCAAAGGTTGCAGTGTACAGAAAAAGTAGCAGTAAGAGACAACGAAATATTCCTGACTGGAAGAAGGTGATGAGAACAGCAAATTTAAGTGTTTATCAATTGACAAAAAAAAAAAAAAAGTTGGTATGTACAAGCTCGTAATTTCCCTGCTTCTCAGATGTGCTCAGGAAAAAGCTTCACCATAAAGTATTTGAAACCCAAGGCAGGTACAATCAGAGAAAAACCTCATGTCCTAATTTTTAGTTTATATGAGCGGAACTGCCATTGCTCTGCCCGAAACTACAGAGCAGGAGAAAAGGAGCACAATGGCAGTCGTCCCCCCTCCAGGAGATGGACACACGGGCTTCACCTGTCTCCAAAACCCGCTCACAAGTATCAGCTCTGTAGAAACAGTCACCTGAACCCACTCCGTTTCCCACAGCTGCGCAGAAATCACGAGAATGTCAAAAATCTTTCAACACAAAAAAACCTAACACTGCTTAATGCCATTTCTGTCTCGCTATCGAAGAGCAGAGAGCAGATCCTATGCTGTTTGCTAAGTACGCACACTCTCTGGCTGGATGCTGCACTACCAGCAGGACCTCTGCCAAGAAGAGGATTCAGGAGCTTACTGGTGTTGTGACTAATTGAGCCAAGACAGGGTACAATAGGCTTTCACAGGATACAGGAGTCCCTGTGCCCACATGTGAAGTATCCTGCCTCTTTACTGGCACCAGCCCACAACATGTCCCAGGTGGGTTCAGCATTTTAAGAGCTCTAAGAAGAGCTGCAGGTATTATTCTTGCTGATAAGCATCAGCAATATGCTCCTCATTAAAGCTGTCATAGCACAAATACACACCTTCTTACTTCACTTCTCCATCCTGCTCACCACCCTTCCCAAGGTATGTCTCTTGCAATTTCACAGTTCAACATCCTACCAACTAAAATGCAACAGACCTCTCTAATAAAAGGTATATTCCGCTTCAGGTTCAGTTTTATGGGTTTTCTTCACGTGGTTAAAGAAAATACAAAAGGATAAACTCCTCTGTTACATGAAAAAAAGCAGGTAATGACGTTACAGACTACATTGCTGAAATTCTTCTCAGTCATCAAAAGCCACACAGTAACTTATCGCTGAGCAGCAGCTCAGAACAAGGAACATGAAAGAGCACAGGACAGGGGGCCGCAGACTCTTGCTCTGCCACTGCACTGCAGCCTCCATGCCTCCACCGTACCAAAGACACAGGCTTTCTGGAACAAAAATATCCATCCGTGAGCACAGGAACCAAAGGTGCTGCCTTTGCTGGTGCTTTTAAAATGCAGATGTGCTTTCAGATGCAAAACCCCCTTTTTTTTTGTCTGTTCCCAGGTTGTGTTCTTCTTATAAATGTGACTTTTGCCTCCATATTTTTTTTTACACATTTTTCAACCGTAGGCTTTAAGGGACACATGTATCTCATAACTGATTATCACAAATGCAGTGCACAGTACACGCACAATGTATGTGCATCTTACTGACAACTGTAAACTGAGCACAGTCAGCTGGATGGAGCAGTAAAACTATGCTGGAGATTTGCCAAAGCCATTCACACTGATCCACCTGAGGGACACCCACAACCCCTGCCTAGAGGCAAGTCTGCATTTAAATCAACTCTTTGTCATCCTCTAATGCCCCACACAGGCGCCTGATGAAAACGTGGCTTTCAAGACAACGATTCAGACAATGCCTAAACAGTTATCTCTCTTTCTGAGCAGTCCACAGCTATTCTCATTCCTCTCCAGTTTGCTCTCTCTCCCTTCCCTGGCACTAGCAGTCAGACGTTGGCCTCATCATCACCCACCACAAAGGCCCCACTAGCAGGTCGAAGAGGCAGATTGGGAAGCACCATGTTCCGATGTCCTGAGTAAGAGCCTTTGCAATAGGATGCACTGCAGCAAGTCACTGTCTTGCACTATTTTCCTCTCTACTCTCCCCAAATCCTAGCATCAGGCCAGAGATGCCTTTACATTTCCACAGAAAAAAAAAAAACCTCTGCTAAGGAGTTCTAAAATTTGTAACATTAAAAAAAAACTAGCAGAGGAGTGAAAGCAGCAGTTATTTTCATTTCCAGTTACAGTGAGTCTCTTCCTTTAAATTCTGCTGTGTGATGCTAGAATTATAGCCCCCAAGGCATGTATTTCTTGGGTCAGAATACAACAAATTTCATTCCTATGACAACTAATGTTTACTATGCCAAGATCAAACTGCTAATATATCCCAATGGCTAAAAATTGAGCCCTGCAGTAATGATGACTTTTCTGTGAGCTAGGGAAAGCTCAAGGTTTTTTTAAACACAATGCACTTCAGATGTAATCCCTACACATGGTCACAGTACTGAATGTTTACCTACAGAGCATGGAAATGTTCAAGCATTTAAATAACAACAAAACTTGTGAGCCACTGCATATCAGTTAGGTACCATGTTGTAACTCCAGTGGAGATACGCTGATGAAATTCAAAGCACGCAAGAGGTTTAGTGAGGAAGGGAAGGACAGTGCCTTGCTCCATCAGTGAGCAACATCACGGTTTGTGTATTGTTAGAGGTTCTCCTAAAAGGAGTCAGCACTGTCTGCTCTGTTATCAACTGTTTGGCATTAATTAGCTGTTCAGATGGGACAAGTGATAGCCTAAACTGAAGAGGATACACAGCATTTCAGATCACTTCGTGCTATTTTTTGAAAGAACAAAAACGTACTTGTGGATGTTTTTAATCGAATCCTCTCCATCAACGCAAGACCTCAAATGACCACTGATCACTGAGGAAAGGGTCACAAGCCAAGGTTCAGCAGAAGGATTAAACACTTCTACCTTGGAAACTACCTCCTGAATTTGTACTATGCCAAACACACCAGTCTTTGCAATTCACTAAGTGAAGCTGAGCACCGGCTTTCAGTACTTCATGAGAAAGCAGGCTTTCTCACAGACAAGACAACTACAGCAGTATCTCTACACTCCTGAAATTCTCACCATAAGGCAAATATGAAACATGTAGAATCATAGAATCCTTTAGGTTGGAAAAGACCTTTAAGATCATCAATCAAGCAAAGAAAGCTTATGTTTCTAAGTGAATTTATTATTGTACGCATATGGTCGGTCCTTGACTGTCTCTCACCAATCTTCTTCCTTTTAAAACAACCACATCATTAAAAAGCAACAGAAATAATGCTCATCCAGTAACCACTCCTGGCTACATCACTTGAAGCTGCTGTTCAATCCATTAATCTTGCTGGAAGAAGTGACACAAAGCACAAGTCCACAAACACACACATATGCTGATAGCCACAGGGTGCACCCTTCTTGCAGCACTGGTCATCTCTGTGTAACAACTAGAGCAGTACCATCACCTCCAGCACAGTGTGGTCGGCTGCAGACACCCCATATGCCCCAACAGCGTGACTGGGGATGCGACTATCTTGGCAGAGCGACAGTAAAACTAAACTGCATGCAAAGGGGCAGACATATATATTGTTGCAGGCCAACACTTTCAGTACCATGTACCAAAAGAGCCTAGCTGCCCAGAGTCCAAGCACCAAGCTGCAGCCATCGTAGCCCTGCACACTTCAAATTCAGACCTGCTTTGGAAAGCCATCATGGAAATGCTTGGCAAAAAATAGCCCTATTATAGTTTATTCCTGACTTAATTATAAACATGACATTATTCAATGAAGCAAGGGACAGAACATGCTTTTGGAGAAAGGCTGGGGCAGCAAAAGAGATTGTGCGCAAGAAGGATAGAGAAAAGCAAGAAGGAAGCCACCGACCCCCAAGAATAATGGAGGAAGATCCAGCCAAGCCTGTTTCAGGCACAAAGTGGATAGAATCAAAGCCAAGGAAGAAAATTAAGAGGCAGACACATCCAAACGATAATTAAACAATACAATATAAACAATGACACTAAGAGTCTTTTCCGCTGAGCATGCAGCGATACCTGCCCAGGGCCCTGCAGCAGGAGCATGGGATATCTCGTGAGCAGATCTCACCACACTAGTAGCTGCCAGATAAGTCACACCCCACACACGAGCCGGCGCATACATCAGTGCCAGGGGCAGAAGGCAGCAACAACTCTGCCCCATAAGCTTCCAGTGCTCTCTTCAAACTTTCTCATTGCTGGGGCAGCAACTCTTGTGCTTCTGCAGCCCATCTACCCCCGGGATTGCAAACAAGCTGTTCCCAATACCTACTTCTTATTAATGAGAACTGGAAGCCTAGTGAGGGTCAGTCCACTGTCTTCCCCAATACCACCTTTTTTTCCTTAAAGTTAAATGATTTTTTTTTTTTCCTCAACAGGATGACATGACAATGAATTCACCTAATCCCTATGAGCCACCAACCCCCTCCCCGATATGGCTGAACTGGCTGAAGATCAACAGCTCTTTGCACCAGGAAAAAAAACAAAACAAAACAAAACAAAACTAAAACCAAAAAACCCCAAAACAAATGAACAAAGCAAACTTGAGGGGCAGATGACATTTGAAGGCACCTCGATTAGGCTAGGCCAAACAATCTTCTTAAAGTAGTATCTACTTAGACAACCAACCACACAGTTAGTGTCACAGGTGTGCCATGCCTAGAACA